CGAGCGAGCGAGTGAGTGAGCGAGTGAGTGAGTGAGTGAGCGAGCGAGCGAGTGAGCGAGTGAGTGAGTGAGTGAGTGAGCGAGTGAGTGAACGAGCGAGCGAGCGAGGGGGGCAGATGAGAGTACACCGTTCGCTTCACTCCCGTACCGTCTCGCGGCGTATCTCACGGCTAAGGACGCGCCGATGCATGCCACTGGCGGCGTTTCGTCAGAAAACCACCCTCGTCCGTTTGTCCGTCTGCTCTCTCTCTCTCTCTCGCGCGCGCGCGCATGTATGTGTACATATATATACGTACGTGCGTACACCGTGCGTGCGTGCGTTCACACGATTTTCACTGGCGGTGGCTGCTGCGATCAGCGGTGGCGGCGCGGATCATCGATAGGTGCAAGCGTGTCCGCGGGCTCGAATCATTCCACACACAAGCATATACACAAATACATTTATGCTACATGGGCATATAACTATCTTTTTCTTTCGCTCGCGCATTCACTCTCACGCAGAGATTCACTCGCTTCTTCTTCCTCTCCTCCCCACCACTACGCGGGGAACTACTCCTCTCAGTCCTCGCTTACCTCGTTCTGTTCCAGCATAGAGAAAGAGAGAGGAGGAGGTGGCCGCACTACACTACACTATCTCACTGCGACTCCCCGCGAGTATAAACGCGCTCGCTTCCCCGAGTGTGTCGCCGGTGTGTTACGGACGAGAGAGCGAGCACCTCTAGCGCGCAGGCGGGCACACGAGCGGCGACGGCACCAGGCCGCACACACCGCTCGCTCGGCACACCACCTGGCGGCGTGCGCATCTCTCGACCTCCTCTCCTTCTCTCTCTCTCTCTCTCTTTCTCTCTCATCATTCTTTCTTGCGTTCGCGCGTACGTCGCGTCACTGTGTGCAGACGTGCATTCGTGTCGCTAGTTCGTTCGCCGGCTCTTGCCCTGTCGGATGTACGTGTACGTACATACGTATGCGCGCGCGCGCGCGTACCACACACGGCAGCCGAGGAGCGTACTCGCTCGTAAATTGTTTTCGGTCTGTTTTACCTGCGTATTCCAGACTCGGAGCGAAATGAATATATCTTTCTCCGGAGTGTACTGCTCCGCGCGAGAAAAGGACGAGAGATAGGAAGCGCGGCTCAAAAACGGACGGACAGACCCGACAAGGTCCGTTAGCTCCGTTCGCTTTACCTGCTCCCCTTTTGACACTTCTCGCGGCGAATTTGAGAATGAATATGTAGATACGTGCTTAGTGAAAAGGGAAGGGGAAAGGAAAAAAAAAGAGAGAGAAACATATACACGCAGAAAGGGAGGGAGAGAGAGAAAGAGAGAGGAAGAAGAAATCAAGTTGCAGGAAAATGTACGAAGCGTCTGGAAATTGTTTCGGTTCTATATCGCCTTCTATACATCTGTCTCCCGATGTCTCTCCTTGAGATTTTTGTCCTTCACGGTAGAATGTTTAATTATACGTACGACTTGTTTTCACTTTGACTGCAGGGACTGTGTGACATGCGGATTCGAAAAGAGCGGACCTATTGTCCCTTCCTCGCACCTTTCTTATCGCGCACGTCGCAGATGTGCCGACCATGAAACCGTTTTTCCGCAGGTCACCTTAATCGCTCGACGAATCCGATAATACCGTAGATAAACCCGAAAACATCTGACTTTTTTCATACGCATATCAGACCGCAATTCTATCGGCAATCGTGCTGAAAATTGTCCCTTACCCCGGACGATCCGTAAATTCATGGTCGGATTTCGGAAACAGGCCAGAACTTCATTAATAATTTCATATGTCGTGTACATTCGGACATACAAGTACATCTTAACAAATATTTTATGTATTTTCCTGATTCCTCGAATGCTTTTCCCGTTACGCGGAGTACAGGAATGTAAATAGAGTTCCATCCTGAATTCTGACGCAAATTAAATCGCCTCAAGCGGATTCTATTTCTCTTCTTTTGTCATTTGAAGTTACATTCAAATTTCTCTATTATTATTGCTATCTTAGATGAATTGAGGATCAGGAGTAGAAATGAGTCTATAAGACTCGGAAATAACTTCAAGTCGTTCTTGGTTTCTCTTTGTGTGTCTCTCTGTTTATATTTTTTTCTAGAAAGTAGATTCGAATTCTAATCTTGCGATCGTCGTAATGACGTTTCACACTCTACTGGAGAAAGAAATGTCGAAAAACGCGTATTCTTCGCCAGGGTCGCGTGTAAAAATAGTTGGCGCGTACGAAAAATACGTACGTTGTTTTAGAGTTAAACGCAGGAACGAAAATACATGACTGAAGTGGAGCCTCGTAGGATTTCATTTTAGCATCATCATGCGATGATTAAAGAGCAATTTGCAATTAATGTGATAGACAAAACGGCGAGAGTATAGTAACGATCCGATTCGCGGTGTATTCGCGAATGTTACGAATGAGAAACTTTAATTATGGCACACTTTGCTCCTCGGAAGCGGGAAGAAAAATGGAAACGAGGCTCGCAGAGTGCCCGAGCTCTCTTTATGGCAGACAAATTTATGGGTCCGCTGTATGTATACGGAGTCGTGCGAATTTAGTGAAAGGATAGGCAATAACAGTGCGAGAGAAAGAGAGATGGAAAAGACGGGAAACGGGAGGGAAG